TTGTGTTCTTTTTCGTCTCATCTCTATGCCAAGAAGTACATATCTCACAACACTTGCAAAATATTTTCATGTTCTTTCACCTAATTTAAGACATTTTTAAGGATTTGATTTTATGAAAATATTGCCCAAGTGCTGCCCTACTTATCATTGATATGATGGTGCAACCATATGCTCTAATGCTAATTTGATGTAATAAATATGAAGTATGAATTCGAATGCAATTAGGACAATGCAATAAATGTAGACAATAATAAAAAAAACTTGATTTGCACACCAAAGACCATCCCTTAGTCCACTTTCGGACTCACAGGAGCATGACTATAGCAGCAGCAATCAGGACCTTGGATGATAATCATTCCATAGTATAGGAGAGCATGCCTACCATTCGAATGAACAAATTTGGCTCATCGATATGTATATTTCTTATATGGTAATAGTTATTGCAACTAATAACATAAGTAATTCTAGGCAGTCATATGTTGTTTATCATTGTTCCACTTGATTTGCTGATGAAGTATATGTATGAATATTTTATAATTTTTGTATTCTAGATGATTAGGGTGCCCCAATGAGACAGAGACTACACCACATGCGTTGATATTTAGAGTTTGCCACCTAGCCTGCGAGGACACATTGAGGCACTACAGGAATTCAGGCTATTTTCGACTGTAAAAGACTGTCAGTAAATTATAAAAAATTGTCGGTTGATAATAAACCAAAGCTTTTCTGACTATCAAAAGGTCGTTATGTTTTTGCTTGTTGCTAATCTAATGAATGGCGGCATTAAGATCCTTGAATTTCAATTAGATGTATTAAGACTTGCTAATAGCTTTTTGATGGTCCTTGACCATCGGTTTTTTTAATTTCTTGATAACCTACAGGTTCAAAAATTGTCGCGTATATAAACGGTCGTTGTGTTAGAGAAATTTTATACTTGCAGGAGAGGGAATCCAAAAAATGATAACATAAAAAAAAAATAAACATGTTCTCATATAATGGGTTGAGTGAGTTCTGTAAAAGATAAAAAGAATTGGAACAAGATAACTTTTAATTATAATCCTATGATATTACCGGATTTTTATTTTTAATAATTTTTTTTTTATGTTGGTGTGGACCTCACTTTTGTGAGGGCTCATTCCACCCCTCTATACGTCACCCTAAACTAGGGTTATGTCTGGACCTTACCAATGCAAGCTCAGGCCCCCAACCCTTGGTTGAGTTGGTTTAGGGTTTAGACCAGCTGAGAATCTTAAATTAACCGATAAAGGTTGGACATACCTTTGGTGAACCCAAGGTTACTACCAAAGACTAGACATGCTCTATAGTACTTAGATCAACTTGAACCTCAATGTCCTCTAAAATTAGTCTGAAACCCTAAAACTTGTCTGAAGACCTTAGGGACCAATGTGACCACCAAATCCACTCAAGGAGAGGATCTACCCAAATTGATCTATGGCTTCACCAGTAGGGTTGTAAACGAGTCAAACACGAGTGAGCCTAGACTCAGCTAGTGTTTGGCTCGTTTATATTTCAAGCTCAAAAAATGTATTTATGTTCGACCCATTTTCTTAGCGAGCGAAACATAAGCTATTCACGAACAAAGAATCATTTACAATTACATAGTCGATTATTTTGTCCGGTTAGGTCCATGATTTTTTTCTTTTCCAGAATTTTCTAAGAAAAAAAATTGATTTCTCCACGGATTATTTTTTTTATTATCTATTGTTCAAGGCGAAATCCTCCATAAATATAAAATATTTTTTTACATAAATTTATGATATCCATATATTATAAATACTGATCTTAAATTTTAAATATTAAATAAAAATGTATAAAAATATTATGGCATGCATATAAAATTTTCTTTTAATTTATATAGGTCATCAAACTTTTTCCTTTTTTGTTGCATTATAATTCTAATCACCCTAATCTTGGAAGTATGAAACGTAGTGGTTTGCTACGAACGGTTGACAGCATGCCACGATGCCATAAAAAGGGCCCAAGCAGCAGGCCCAATTTGCATATAAATCGTAGCAATTCGTACAATATGGATATTTAAATCCTTTCTCCATCATTGTCCTCATTATCATGCATTACTTTAATTGATGAAAAGGTGGGACAACTATTTAGAGGGACAATCTACAGAATAATTTAATCTATCTAAACAATCATTAAAGGTATCTACAGAATAATTTAATTTAACTAATTTTTATTTACATTTTATTATCTTCCCGAAGGGCCCAGGCAGCAGGCCCAATTTGCATATAAATCCTAGCAATTCGTACAATATGCATATTTAAATCCTTGCTCCATCATTGTCCTCATTATAACGCATTACTTTAATTGATGAAAGGGTGGGACAACTATTTAGAGGGAATCATTCAGGGTATCTACAGAATAATTTAATCTATCTAAACAATCATTAAAGGTATCTACAGAATAATTTAATCTAACTAATTTTTATTTACATTTTATTTTCTTCCCGATATTAGTAATAAGATTGGTCTTATAATTTCAAAAAATTAAACTGTCAGCAATAAGGATTTACTTCTCACATCTAGATTTTTATTTTTACGCACATAACACTAAAAGAATGAATATGGCTATTAAAAGATGATAATAAATGTCACTTTTCATATAATGTTTGTAATTATGAAAATTTAGGTGTGATAAGTAAACATGAAAGTTTTTGGTGTCAATAAGAGCTCCTAAAATTTATTTCTCATTTCCTCCCTATCATAAAAAAGATATATTTCATTATAATTATATTTCAAAAGTTAAATGAGCGTGCGGGGAGGTCTTAGGCGGTAGAGTAGTTATTAAGAGTCATAATGTTGCAAAAAAATGCAGTATAATCTTAGGTAATTAAAGTGATAGGTAGAAACTCTAAAAATTTTTACGTGAAAGATCATAAAAAAGTAAAAAAAAATCACGTGGCCTAGCGCAGTTGAAATAATTCACTATAATTGTAAGTGCATAGATCAACTCTTTTCCTGAATTAGAAAAAATGAAGTCATAAAATTGATGTACAAAGATATTTTAGAAGTAATAGTCATAATAAGTCATGAAGACCATAATCAATTGCTATGAAGACAATAAACCACTGTAAATATTGTGGATGATGGTTGTAGCGTCAGCTAGTCATAGAGGTTGTAGTTAAAAGTAATGATAGTAGTTGGTCATATGGGTCGTACTTGGTTGCTTCAAGAGTGTCAGGCCGTATTTGGAAGCTGCAAAAACTGCGACAATGTTCATAGGTTGCAGAGGTCAGGGTTAAGATTTGCATCAATTATGAACCACGCGGGTCATAGTTGGTCACGTAGGTCATAGAGGTGAGCCGTCATAATGTCTATAGACCACAGAGGTCGGAGTTAGGAGCTGCATGAGTTGTGGATCACGCAGACAATAACTAGTTATGTAGCCCATAGTGGTACTTGAGATAACATCTATAGGCCCTAGAGATTGGAGTTGGGAGCTGCACAAGTCGTGATAGCATCTGTAGGCTATAAAAATCGAAGTTGAGAGCTTCAACAAAACACAGTATGTCACATTATAGAGGTCATGAATGATTTTTATACACTTATGTATTCTAGGATTAATAATCTATCCTAAAGTCTACATATTATAATTTTTTTTGCCTCTACCTTTGCTCCCTACCTATGCAGGTCATTATAAATATACTAATTTGAGGAACATTTTGCTTTCATGTGGGCTTACATTTATCAACCTAATTACATATGTTATCATAGTAAATACATTTGCTGACACTTTCCCTTGTATGAGAGTTTCTTCTTTACCATCTAATCTATTCAAATGATCATAATATAAAAATTTAAGGTCCTTTTTTAATTCTTATATGTGTTCAATTGCATCACCATATCTATATTTGTTATCATAGTAAATCATTTGAAAACAAATACTATAACCTTTTTTAATCCCATTTCATTTTCACTGTTGAATGTCTGAGCTCAAAATTTAACAGATTAATTACATACATCAATATAAAATTTTTTAGTGCATACCATCCTACTTCAAAATTATAAGAATTTATTAAATGCAAACATATTTTTAGTACATCATATTTATGATTTATAATTTAAAGTGACGTGCAATCATATTAATCATTTTTAGGGGTGTAAGTAAGTCAAGCCGACTCGTAAGCTAGCTATAGCTCGGCTCGATGAGCTAACAAACCAAGTTCAAGCTAGCCCCAACTCGACTCGTTAGCTTGTGAGCTTGCAAGTTTAAAAAAATGTTAATAAAAAATATATTCAAAGTATATTAACTTTGAAGATTTAACCTTAAAAATATTTTAAAAAATTATAAAATAATATTTTCTATTCTATATTAAGTGATGCCTTATTATTTATGTCATAATAGCTCGGTATATTTATCATTTTATTATAACACTATATTAAATTAATATTATTTTCTCTTATTTATGACAAACAATCTGGCTCATGAGACGGCCGGCTTGAACTTGTAAGTTTAAGCTCAAGCTAGAGCTCAAGCTTGATAAAATTAATCGAGCTTAAACTCAAGTCGAAAGTTGTTTGAGCTCGACCTCAACTCGACTCTTTTACACCCCGAATCAATTTGAATTAGGCAGAAATATACACAATAGATTGAGAATTTTTTCCTAACAGGTCGCTTACATTAGAGCTAGTGGCATTTATAAATTTTTATGCAAAGCATTATAATAAATTTACTTTAGAAATTAACTTTGTGCATCTTCTAATAAATCATAAATAAAAATTGACGCACACTAGCGAGACTCGGCTTGCCGCCAAAAAAAAACACGTGTATAAAAATCATATGCTGGATTTGACATGATTTTCTTTTGCTCGGTACGTTTCACACTTTTCACTTTTACCGTTGTCGATTGTTTGTTATACTTTTTTTTTCATTTTTACTTTATTTATTTATTTTTTTTATCCTTCCAGATAATGCCGAAGCATTATAAATTGAGACTTCAGCCCACAGGAAATTTAAACCATACAAGAAAACCTCCTGATTAACCAACCATGGTTCTCTCCCCAATGATTAAGTCCCTTCTCTTCGCCGCAGCCCTCACAATCCTTCTGGCCAAACCATCCTCAGCTCAGACGGACAATTACTTGCTCTCTGGAGAGCGTCTCGAAGGAGGTAAATCGCTGAAAAGTGGTAACTTAGAATTCATCATCCAGGATGACTGTAACCTCGTTCTCTATCACTCTAAGAAAGCGGTTTGGGCTTCGGGAACCGACGGTTTCAGTTTGAGCTGCTACCTCGTCTTGCAGCAAGACGGAAATCTCGTCATCTACAACTATCTGGATAGGGCCATATGGGAGAGCTACACCTTTGGAATAGATGGACACTATATCCTTGTACTACAAAAGGATCGCAATGTTGCCATATATGGCGATCGCATATGGGATACGGATAATAAGTACCCTGGCTCTGTGGCCGTCGTCGTCGCTGCTGCACGTGATGGGACGGTGGGGGTTTCGGGGGCGAAGCAGAACATGGCGAGGAAAATGGGTAAAATTATGGAGGTAATTAATTAAGAGTGCTGAAGAGGCAAAGACTGTGTGCATGAGCAATGGTAAATAAGATAAGCATGTTTATAAATGCATGCTTTGTGTATGTTTTCGTAGTCCTGTATGTGGCATAGTATGGATGAATTCAAATGACTTCTTTTATTGACTGCTAATATGAGCGTACTCTGAACGACCCATTCCGAAGAACAGAAGTTTTGAATGTGCCGGACACTAACAAACGCTAGGATTACTAAGCTCTACTAGTTTATACCCCGATATTTGTTAGTACAAAATAAATACTTTTTATATAATATTTTAACTATTTTAGGTATTTGATATTCCAATATATTTAAAATTACAAAATATGAGCGTACTCTTCTACTCCCAGTTCTCCATTTCTCATGGGATTCATAAGTCTTCAAATTAGCCTTACTAATGGGTTTCATAGGGTAAACCCATTCTTCATCTCCAATCTCCACTCCAGAAAGTTTGCAAAATGTACAAATAAGTCCATGATGTCCTAGACCTCCACTAGTCTCACTTCTCGCCGTAGTCAATATATTCTTAAGAATAATTCTCCCCACATTTATTGTTCTATTATTCTGAATACAGAAATTCAGAATAGTTCTATCTCTAGTTACCTCACTATGGTGATAGGTCGGTAACAAAGTAGAGGAAATGAAATAGTGTCA